TGCGGGCCTGGGAAGCCCACGCTGGTTTGCTCGAGCGCGGTGGGGAGCTGGTCGTACTCGCAGCAGAGGGGTCAGAGGGTGTGCTCTGGGGAGGGCCCGCCCAAGACGGACCTCATGGCCTTCAGCCCCAGCCTTCCGCCCTGTCCAGTGGCAGATGTGGGAGCGGAAAACCAGTGTATTGAAGGTGACCAATCAGTAAAGGTGGGTTATTACATTTTTATCTTCAAAATTTTCTCTATGTCAATGCACTTTTTTAGACATATGTCCTAGAATATTTTTTTCTTGTCTTCATATTCTTGTGCTCTTATATTTCTAGTAGTACTTTTTTAGTAGTTTATTCCAGAAAGTAATTACGTATTTTCTACATGTTTTGACCTCGCATGATATAAATTTCAATACAAGTATTTATTTAGGCTTCATTAATATTTTCCAATATACATATTGTATTTAAGGTGAATTTGTGATGCTTTATTTTCATATCTACCCTTTCTGTTTCTTTTCTTTTGCGCATATTTATAAGATCAGTTCTGTAATTTATTTTTTGTTTTCATATTATCTTTTGAGTTGACGCTATTGTAACCATGGAAACACTGCACTAGTTCATGCCTCATTTAGTGAAAATCTGTTTGTTTTTCTCCCTAAGTATAAAATCCATGTAGTTCACCCAAATTTAAATGGCATATTAAATCTTTAGTGTTCACTGATTATACTCATTCTTCAGCAGGGACGTGAGTTAGCCTGGCAGGTCACTGTAAAAAAAAAATTCTGATTATGTGAATTCAGTGAAATATTTGAACTTCAATTTTTAAAAATTTTAATCTCAAAATTACTGGAATTTGTATCGGTCTGTATAATTCACTTTTCTCAGAGAAGAAAATGTGTGTTTCAAAGTTATATTCATAGCTGTATCCAGAAGTATTTACTCTTTTCTCATCAACATTAGGCATTGTTTGTGATATTCAACTATTGGCTCTTCTATTACTTTTTTGAGTTACTATTTCTCTATGTAGCTCAGGCTATTCTTTACTTCAGTATGTACCCCACGCTGACCTCAAACTCACAGTGATCCTCTTGCCAAGTCCTGGGATTACCGGCCTGTGCCACAATGCCTGGCCGGCTCTTGTACCTTAAGGAAAGTGTCTTGATTATGTTTAAGCATGGGAAAAATTTGAAAATATCTTTGGAAACCTCACCTTTAAAAAAAAATAATACTGGGGATTGAATCCTGACCCCAGTGTATGCCTACTGCAAACACTCCATGAAAGTTATTTTTAATTATAAGGAAATTTAAAATGCTTATTTTAGTTTAAATTATATTAGAAGCGTGAAGAGAAAATTTATTTCGCCTTTAATATATGATTTAATATATGCTGACTTTGATTTAATAGCTTCTAAGTCATCTTAAACAGGTCTGTGTTGGGTTATACATACATATGTGTGTGTATGCGCGCTTCATAAGTAGTTTACAACAAAAATCGAAGCTTTTGTTGAAATTTAGGTATATCAAAAAAGATAATTGTGACAGGAATTTAAGCATAAAATTTCCTTCATTATTTTTGCTCCTTACCCCTTAGACATTTTAGATGATAAACTAATGCAGAAGTAAGCTATTATACCAGGTGTGTTTATGAAATATATACATTACCCTCAGATATTTGGAAAAAAATCCTGATCATCTTCTTTTACATTTTTATTTATTTTACTGATGTTTGGTATTGAATTCAGCACTTTCTGCACACTTTTTACGCTCTATGATTGAGTTGCAGCCCCAAATCTGCTCCTGAATATCTCACATCATGCCCAACTAACTCATTTTCTCTTGAGTTTATATCAATTTTAAAAGGTTTAGTTCTGAAGGTGCATTTATGTCTCAAGAAACATTAATATATATTCATATAATTTCAAGTCATATAGTATAAAAGTTGAAGCATTTTAACATTCCAGGTGAAGACATCCTGGGTTGGCCCCTTAACTCTAAAAGACAGTACTCACCACACACACACACACACACACACACACACACACCCCCCCCTCTCACATATTATAGTTGTGGATATCTTTGCTTACGTTGCTTCTTTTTTCTTTTTTCTTTTTCTTTTTTTTTTGGTACTTGGAATCAAACTCAGGGCCTTGTGCTTGTGGGGCAGGTGGTGGAACCACTGAGCTAAATCCCCAGCCCTTGCTCATTTTTTTCTAACAGGCGTTTGTGTGTGTGTACACTCGCACATGTGTGTGTCTGTGTTAGTACTGAATTCTGTATTTTCAGGTCTGTGACTATTATTTTCTTCATTCATAATTTTTTCATGTTGCTAAATTTTTTTACATGTAGTTTCCTATTAAACTCAAAACAATGTCTTTACAATATATAGCCAAAGTAGATACAGCTAAAGGATTAAAGTCAACACATGCCTCACACTTTTCTTGTTTCTGAAAGTACATGCTATGATTTCCACTTATACAACTCAAACTTGGGTCTGAGCTTTTGTAGTTATAAATCCCCAAGCCTGTCAGTTCCTATCATTCTTAGCTTCTCCTTGATTTGTATGTTGTTCTTCTTACATGTGTCTTTCCTACTAACTCTTCATAAAGTCAATGTATCATTTCTGCAGAAGTCTTATCCGAATGTATTACTAAATCTGAGCTATCAATGGAATGTTAAATTTTGTTTTAATCAATTTAATCTTGTTTTCTTTACATTGCCTTCTTTTGGACATATTTTCTTAAAAAACACAACTATTCACAAAAATCTTACAATAAGTAGCACTTTACTGGAAGCATAATAATCCTAAAATCTATGAAAAAAGGGAGGCAGAAAGGAGTGGCATTCAAGGGAAACATCAGCAAATACAAGTTTTAATGATTTCAGACAAGTTTTCACTGACCTTTAAAGATATTCTTGGGGTAACCTATTTTCTGGTCCCCCTTCTGTCTCTCTTAGCGAAAAGCTATATTTCAATAAACTTTTCTTACTCTTAAAAACTTTATAGCCATTAAAAAAGTTCCATTTAGAGGCATAAAACCAGAAAAATCTCCCAAATCAAAATTGCTTTTTATGTTCTTGCCAAAAGTAATTTATTTATTTCTTTTAAACCTGTAACATCTTACCGTTATAATATGTTTAACGTATGGTCATGGTCTATTAGATGATATTAAAATGAGTCTAATCATGAGTATTCTTTAGATCTTGTTGATGTAGTATTTGTGACAGTTTGCTTTAAAATGAGTAACCAATGCATGGCTTTATTAGTGCACTATGGTTAACAGCTAAATGAAAGCCTTGGAATTTGGAGGCTGTTCAAATTATGTTTTATATGTACTTAATTAATCATGCAATTCTTCAAACCAAAAGTAGAAAGAAGTTTCATTTCCAAAGAGATTGGTTCATTTCGATCAGCCAACATAAGGTATTTTTAAAATTTTTCAAATCATCTTATGTTTTAGTCAACTCTATGTGATGAGTATTTTCTTGTTCTTTTCTTTATGTAATGTGTTGGCATAGAATTTATTTATTCCATAATAGAAATAATTAGAAGTCTACATCTTTGAGTTGCTATTTTTAAAAGTATTCAAATCAAGACAGAAGCTCACTTTTACATAATACCTAAGATACTTTTGGGTACCCATTCACAATTGTTTACTTTAGTGGATGAATTTGGCATTTTTAAAATGGCTTCCATTTTCCTGGAAGGATTCAGATGCTAGACAACTAGTTCCTTACAATCTTGAGAAAGATTAAAACATTTTTCTACTTTAAGACAACACCGATAGACTACACTGTGAATTAATAAAATATCATGCAAATTCCAATGTGATTTTTTTGCATTTGAGATAAAAACAGAAAAATAAAATTGAATGAATGAGCCTTAATACAATCTTTATTTTCCAGTCTCTTCAAGCCAACTCTGGAATAAAGTGAGTATGGGCTTACAGATGTAATTAGGATTACCAATAATTTTTTGGATGAAAAGGATTATCTGGGCAAATAAGCAATGAATATAGTGCACATCAGTGCATACGTGCCCTGCAGGATAGAAACAAAACATTTTCTCTGAGCTGATAGAGTGATTGACAAAAATTTTAAAAGTGACAAAGTCTTACAAGTGTACTTTGAATTTCCAGAAGTCAGTGTGGGGTGAATTAATTAACAGCAAAGCAAATAGATTGTTGAGTAACTAGTTAAGTGGCTTAGTAGCATTGATTTGAAATCCCATTCTTTTGAGCTGGTGACTTACAAATTTGATACCGTGCATCATCCTCTGCACAATCGGGCCACAGGTTTACGATAATTTAACACATTTAAAAGGAGTAAGCAGGAAAAAGTGGACATGTTAGGAATAAACTTTAGAAATGGCTATATTAAATTGTCCAATTTCTTAAAAATATTAAAAAAGCATAACTAACATCCTACAAACCTGGTCTTTTTATATATATATGCACACACAAACACACACACTAGTAGGTAGTGTAGTAATACTTTCTCTTAGATTTCTACTTTCCAAACAAAACTCTTCTTGGAATTCTAAATGTAAGATAAAACCACTTCTAAGAAGCTACTGGTAACGCACAAGATGAGAGATTTAAAGAACTAAAAAAAAATATTGTCAAATGTGAATGGATTGAGGAAGAAGCAAGGTTAAGTGTAGTACGGACTCAATGCACTTACATTTTGAGCCACAGGATGTCGCTGTTCTCCAAGCAGAACATTTTTTTAAAAAAACACAAGTAAATCAGATTATCCGCAGATCCGAAAGAAGCTCCACAGTTGCCGTGTGTTAAAGACTATAAACACCCATATTCTCTAGGTTGTCTGGAATTCAGAGCAAGAAATCAAAACAAAGGTCTCCGAAGGACTACATACTTTTGGCCATTGAATGTTTTACTAATCAAAGACCGACACGATGTTAGCAGCCAAATCAGGTGACCAGATAGCTAAGCGACATCTGCTGCAGTCGCTTCTGTTCGTCGCAGCCTGGGGGACCGGTAGCGGCCAGCTCCACTACTCAGTCCCAGAGGAGGCCAAACACGGCACCTTCGTGGGCCGCATCGCGCAGGACCTGGGGCTGGAGCTGGCGGAGCTGGTGCCGCGCCTGTTCCGGGTGGCGTCCAAGGAGCGCGGGGACCTTCTGGAGGTAAATCTGCAGAATGGCATTTTGTTTGTGAATTCTCGGGTCGACCGGGAGGAGCTGTGCGGGCGGAGCGCGGAGTGCAGCATCCACCTGGAGGTGATCGTGGACAGACCGCTGCAGGTTTTCCACGTGGAGGTGGAGGTGAAGGACATTAACGACAACCCGCCTGTGTTTCCAGCAACACAAAAGAATTTGCTTATTTCTGAAACCAGGGCTCTTGACTCTCGGTTTTCGCTAGAGGGCGCCTGGGATGCAGACGTCGGGGCTAACTCCATTCTGACTTACAGACTGAGCCCCAATGAATATTTCTCGCTGGAAGTACCAACCAAAGAGGAGCAGGTAAAACCGCTGGAACTAGTGTTAAAAAGGCCTCTAGACAGAGAAATCGCTTCAGAGCTTCTCTTGGTGCTCAGAGCGACGGATGGAGGAAAACCTGAGCTATCAGGCACAGTGGAGTTACTAATAACAGTGCTTGATGTAAACGACAATGCCCCGGTGTTCGACAGAGCAATCTATCCTGTAAAATTACTGGAAAATACAAGAAATGGTACGCTGGTGATTAGACCTAACGCCTCAGATTTGGATGAGGGTTCAAACAGCCACATTGTTTACTCCTTCGCAAATGATGTCTCCCCTAAGACAGAAAACATGTTTTACATAGATTCAGCCAGTGGAGAAATAAAAGTAAATGGACAAATAGATTTTGAAGAAACGAGATTATGGAAGATTCAAGTGGAGGCAGTTGACAAAGGCAATCCTCCAATGTTTGGGCACTGCACCATCTTGATAGAAGTTTTGGACATCAACGATAATGCTCCAGAGTTAGTAGTAACATCATTATCGCTCCCTGTTCAAGAGGATGCTCCAGTGGGCACCGTCATCGCCCTGATCAGTGTGTCCGACCGGGACTCTGGTGTCAACGCACAGGTGACCTGCTCCCTCATGCCTGATGTGCCCTTCAAGCTGGTGTCCACGTTCAAGAACTACTATTCCCTGGTGCTGGACAGCGCCCTGGACCGGGAGAGCGCGTCTGGCTACGAGGTGGTGGTGACTGCCAGGGACGGGGGCTCGCCCTCGCTGTGGACCACGGCCACCGTGTCCGTGGAGGTGGCCGACGTGAACGACAACGCGCCGGTGTTCGCGCAGGCCGAGTACACGGTGTTCGTGAAGGAGAACAACCCGCCGGGCTCCCC